GTATTTCATCATGTTAACTCCACAATGGTGCAGTGGTTAACTAAGGTTCTGGGTTTGAGTCTGCTTGCTCTCTGTGGAGTTAGCATGTTGTCTCTGTGGTTGCATGGGTTCTCTCCATGTGGGTAAAAACTGAATGGGTTTCATCTGTTAGCAGGATTATTGGTCCAAGTCAGAAACATTTCCTGTGGCAGTGAAGGTTTCATGCACTTGTAGTGCTTCGAAACTAATTTTTGAGTGATAGCGTCTTCTTGTGTAGTTTGATTCATGTGCACTTAAGTGTGATCTGTTAATCTGAAATGCTCCAGTTTCAACTACCATCTCATGTCATTGGTGTTTCAGGAACTCCGGCCTTGTTTGTGACACCATGGACAGTGGTCAAGATTTTATATGAAAACACAGAGTAAGTCTCTCAATACATGTTTTATATTAAAATAATCAGTTTAACAGACTCGTAAACCCTTTATTCCTTAGATGCTGGTCCATTATTAACAGAGGGTTCTGGTGGATCATAAAGGGCCCGATCACTTTATCAGTGCTAGTAAGTCAAGTTTCTCAACAACCTCTACACACTTTTCAAAGAACCATAGCACAGTCACATTGGTTACAGATATGTCATGTGGCTCCAGTGGTGCTTAATTAATTAGTTACTTTCCCCCTAATTTTCTCCATGTAATGGTTTGTGCCTCGTGTTGGCATGTGATATGATGCTGCTATAGTCACAAGTATGAATGATATTAGCCATCTTCTTACTTACAAAAGCATTTAAAACACACTTTTAGTCTCTTTTTTTTTTTAACTTTTATTTAACTTTTTTCCCCAACAAATACAAGACTGGTTCACATCCAAGATAATAACACTACACAGCACTAGAATATTACAACATTATGTCCATAATTGTTGTCCACTAGGATCCAGTTTACAGGTTACTCCCAGTGCTTCCAGTGGTTTCTTCCATTTGTCCACAAAAATTCGGGAGCTCCCATCAATATAGTGTCCCAGCCTGATCAGAGTCATAACTTCAATGATGAGCGACTTCCATAGAGAAATGGAGGGAGGCTCAGCCCCCACCCATCTCAACATAATGCTTTTCCTGGCCAACATTAACAGTGACTGAATTACATGCTCATGTTGTATCAGTGAAACAGGGATATATCCCAATATACATTAATGGGTTTTCTGTCACCTGATGACCAATGGCTGTACTAATATTGGCGCAGACCTCTTTCCAAAATGACTGGATAATAGCACATTCCCACAAGCAGTGGAATCTAGTGCCCAC